GCAGGGGGTCACCCCCCGTGGCACAACCGGGCCCCCAGTGTCCCCCTTCCCTTGCCCAGCCCGTGCCCCGGCGCAGACGCTGGCGGTGCCGGTAATCCCTGCCGTTTTTGCAATTAGCCTTCTCCCCATTACCCAATTACGCCCAGTTCCTGCTGGTCGCCCATTCAGCAGCCTGGGGGGCTGGCACGCCGGGAGCCAGCGCTCCGCCACCAACCTCCCCGCCTTTTGTTTCCTTTATTCCCAAAGTGACCATTCTGCCTTTTATTTCCCCTTCCAACTCCTTCACAAATATCCGCCGCCGCCTCGCCTGCTTCCCTTCCCCCGGGAGGTTTTGTTGGGCTCTTTTCTTCTCTCCCCGCGTCTCCTCCGCAGCCCCAGCTGTTGGGGAGCCACCCACGTGGGACAGGGCCACGGGCCTCATCCCTCTCCCCCGAGCACGGTGGTCTCTGGCCCAGCCCTGATGGCTGCCAGCCCCCTCGGGACCCTCGTGGCTTCCCTCCCAACGCACCAGGCCGTCTTCTCCCACCGAGGGCATCGGATCCTCTGGCAGCACTGCTTGGTGCCCTGTAGCTGTGCGACTGGATCGTCGGCCAAGCTCTCTGCCCACCCATCCATCCATCCATCCATCCACCCATCCATCTCTGCATCCATCCATCCATCCATCCATCCACCCATCCACTCATCCATCCATCCATCCATCCACCCACCCATCCATCCATCCACCCATCCACCTCTGCATCCATCCATCCATCCACCCATCCATCCATCCACCCACCCATCCATCCACCCACCCATCCATCCACCCATCTACCTATCTTTATATAACATATATATACATATATTAGCCCTCCAACCATCACTGAGGGAGGGCAGCACTATTCCTCTCACCTCCTCATGGGGAAACTGAGGCAGGGAAGGCTCCCCAGCCCAGACTCATGGAAGAAGGTCCCTGGCAGCGCAGGGTCTCAGCACCGGCTTTCCCAGATGCTCCTCTCCGACCACACCGGTCTGTTTGCAAAGGAGCTGCCCTCTGCTGTCACTGGATCCCCTTCCTCCCCCACCACGACTTTGTTTTGGGGACGGGTTTTAGGGTGGTGGCAACACCACCAGCATCCCCAGGACAGAGGGAGAAATGTAAGCCAAGGGTCTGGGCTTGGCCACACAGCCCTGCAACGTCACCTCCAACTCTGGTGACAATGATCCGGGCTTGTTCTCGGAGTCATGGCATGGTTGAGGTGGGCAGGCACCTCTGGAGACCTTCTGGTCCAACCCCTGCTCAAGCAGGGTCACCTGGAGCCACTCCCAGGGTCCTGTCCAGGGGGGTTTGAAGATCTCCAGGGATGGACAGTCCACAGCGCCGGCAGCCTGGCCCAGCGCTCGGCCACCTTCCCAGCGAGAAAAGGCTTTTTGGAGATTGGGCCTCCAGAGGATGGACCGACGGACATCCGGACTTGGTCATGGAGAAAAGAATAGGGAGGTGATAAAAAATGTTGCTCCACAATCCTCCGTTCTTCACCATTTCCACTGAAAAGCCCCTTACAAAACTCTCACAGGGGCTTTGCCTCGCCAGCCATCCTGGGGGACTCCCTTCGGGCCTGGCTTGCCTTTCCGTGCCCAAGCAAAACAACGCCCCAGCCGATATTCTGAAAACATTAATCCCGTGCAAGGGAATTTTCTGCAAAAATTTCTCATTTTCTACAAAGGAACCCGCACCTCCCGGCTTCGCAAACGGGGGCAGCCCCAGGGCTTCACCCCCCAGCCCCTGCCTGCCCCAAAGCCGGCCAGCCCCGGCCGCCGCGGCGAAGCTGGAGCC